TCAGTGGTGTTTTGTTACAGCAGTCCAAGCTGACTAATACACCTGCCAGCTCACCAAACATGAGTAAATTGCTTCATCTCCTTAGGTCCCAGCTTCTTCTGAACTCCGGGAGATGGATGGCTCACAAAGCCTTGGAAGCTTGAACCTCCTGCAGTTTTGTGATAACAGATGAACGGCCTCCACCTCCTTTTCTTTCCTCAGCTGCCTGCATCACATTCTGTCCTTCCCAACAGGGAATCCCGCCACAGTTGCCAATTAGCGCTCTAATCCTGTTTGTGTGTCTCCACTGCTCTGTGCCCTGAACCCCATTCATTAGAATGTCATTCATTAGGGATCAGAGATTCTGAGGACACAGAGCCCAGCATCATTAGTACTAATTGAAGCCTGGATTCCTAATGTGCTGCAGAATGCTGGCCTTTTTCCGCCCTGTCTCAGGCATCACAGCTGACAAAAGGCCCTTTTTGGGTCCAGGCGCCACAGTTCACAAAAGGCCTCGGTCTATGGATATTAGCCAGCAGAGTGTGGGGCTGTCCCTGAGGAGCCAGGGAGACAGCGGCATGGTGCCCGCACCGCGGTTTAAATTACCCTGGCCTGTCTACACAAGGCTTCTGCATTCTTCATGGGGGATGTCGACAGTGCCCCTTTGCCCCCCGAAAATTACCTGGAAGTTGGGGTTTGGGTTCGGATACGGTAGCCAGGCCGAGCGCGAGTTCTCTTGGTACTTGAAGGGCCCGGCGAAGGCCTGTGCGATGGCGCTCAGGTTGAAGATGCACACAGCTGAGGCCGCGATGCTGTTCCTGGGAGCCGAGGGAGAGAGAGGAGAAGGCAATTAGAGAGCTCAGCAGCACCTGCTGACCTCCCCTATAGAGTAGGCAGCAGCTGTGACCTGGAACAGCTTCCAGAGGTCTCAAGGCCACAGTCTCTTAAACATCCCAAAAGGACGAAGTCAGAGCGTGAAGGGGGCTCCCCTGTGGAGGAACAAACATCTTGGTATAGAAGCCAGGCTAGTTAGCATTTACCACACTTGTAATTCTGTCAGCCAGGATTAATTCACTCAGCTGCAACAGAGGCCAGAGGGATTCTGAAGAGCTATCTGCTTCACCTTTCAAATTCTGGAAGAAAAAGACTTTCTTCTCCAGCGGATGGTATCTTTCATCAGCCTGAAGCAATTCCCTTCCTGACCTATCTGGTCACTTTGCCCAGCAGCAGGGCAAGCTGTTGTGTGTGTGTGTGTGTGTGTGTGTGTGTGTGTGTATTTTAACCCAGATATTTGTCTTATTTGTCATCCTTTAAAAAAAAATCAACTCAAAGTATTTTATGAAAAGTGACTGACTCTTCATATTTTCTTTTAATTTAAAACAGATTTTAAATTCAAAGGGTCAAAGAGAAAAATCTGACATAGCACTGACCTATGAAATCCTGAAGTCGTAATTTAGAATTCAGGCTCTGAAAGTCAGTCATAAATGGGAGCCCTCAGAAGGTCAGTGCCCTCTGACTAAGTATGGAAACGGCAACATTATTTGGTTAAGTAAACTCACATTTTGAGCTCAGTTTGGGTTCTCGAAGGGGAAGTGGAGATAAAAGGAGAAAGCTTACATATAGTTTCTCTTGCTCTGAGACAATACTACATGCACTTCTCATCCATTTTTTTTTCCTGCATCAAAGGAAAAGTCAAACAAACTCCAAAACTGGAATACCTAGCTTATATTTGTTTGATTTGATAAATACTGAATAGGAGCTAGGCACTATTCCAAGGACTTTACTAATTCCCATTCATTTAATCCTCATAAGGTGAAGGAAATTCACAGGTAAGGAAAACTAGGCATAGTGAGGACAAGACCCTTCCCCAATGTCAGCCATCTACTAAATGAGGAAATCTGACTTGGACCCCAGGCTGGCTCCAAATGCCAGGATTTTCCCCAGTATGGCTCCAAATGCCAGGATTTCCAATCCCTTGCAATATCTCTGGGTGAAGTAGACAGGATTCTACTTCAGGAGGGCAGACAGTCAACACATCCTTATGGAAAGGTAGGGCCTTGAGGGTATTGAGGGCCTTCTGCATTTTCTCCAGAAGTCCAGCACCAAGGACAAGGCCCAGCATGATGCATACAGGACCCGGCGCTGGAAAGTAAAGGGGTGAACACCAGCTATGGGTTGTTCAGTTTGCTGTTTTGACTCTTCATTATCCCTAGAGAGAATGGGAGAAGTTAAAACACAAGGACAGGGAAGACACTGGCCTTTGAACATGTGAGTAGGCTTTAATAAGGAAAAGAAAACAAGTATGCTGGAATAAGAAGGGCTAGACGCAGGACATCCCATCCAGGCATGCCTTGGGCCAGGTGCAGAGGCAGGCAAAGCGGGATATTATGAATAATAACAGTATCTCCTTGAGCCCCCTGCTAAGCACTTGATAGGGATCATCTAATTTCTCACAGAGAACCTATAGATCCTGAGAAGACCCTGACTTACAGATCAAAAAACAGTAGCACAGAGAGGTTGCTTAGCCCAAGTCACAGGCTGCAGAGAAATGAGGCAGGATTTGTACCTGCTTTGCATGGGGCCCCAGGTCGCCAGACGGCTTCCAGGTAAAGGAAGAACCTAATCTTCTTCCTGCTGGCATAATGTTTCTCTGTTCACTACAACCACCAGGACTGAATGGGCTGACCTGGGCTCTGGTGTCACCCAGAGACTCCACTGGATGTCCCAGTAGTTGCCAGTGTGAACATCCTTTAATAGTGTTGTGGGAACACTTCCTCCTGTCCCCTGTGCCATCCCCCGGTGAGCACAATTGGTATAGTAGACCCCATGCCTGCCTCTCTACCCTTTCACTTGCTGTGCTCTGGGGGCAAAGGGTGAGCCTGTGTGACTCCACTGTGCTCCTCCCTCTGCCCTGCCCCCTCTTCCTAGGATGGGATTGTCTATAGGAAGTAATTATTCACTCACTTCTACAGGGTCTCCAGATCTGTGGGCAGGCGAGGGCAGGCCAGGTCTAGATCATGACCTTGAGAATGAGTAGGCTTAAAGCTGGAATCAGTATGAACAAGCTCACTTGTATGACAGACCTGCAGCCACCTGTTCCAACCTGGCTTCTATCAGCAATCAAGGTAAAAATTTAGGAGAGCAATAAAAAAAACCTACCCCCCCCCCAGCAACTTTAGTATCTGTATATCCATATCTATACATAGTAATACTTTACTACAATCTCTACACTATAAACAACTATAATGGTGAGCCACCATTTTTAGATATCTAGGAAAAAAGCCAAATCTTTAGAGACTTCCTTCAGGCCAAGCCATACTCAAGTGCTTGAGAAAACTACACAGTCATGCTAGGGACAGAAGGAGTCAGAACGGTTATCTTTTCCCCATTCCTCTAGAGCTGAGAAACCTTGATGAATGTACAGAGGCAAAGCAATATTCTAAGCCCTGAAGCTCAGCCCAGTGTTAGACAGCTTTCTAATTCATAATATCTCTGATCCTCGTTTTCTTTCCATTTGAAGCAAACATTGTCTGAGACACGAAAAGGAGGTGGAAAATATTGTGAAATTTGAGATGGGTGTATTAGAAATGCATTCCCAAGACCTAACACAAATTAGTATTCCAAGGAGAAAGGGGAGATGTGACGCTTCTATCTCTAAAAATATAGATTCTGTACATTGGGTGACTTCTGACATGATGGGAATTTGCAACACTAAACAAATAGTCCAGAATAGTCTGAAACTTATTTTTGCAACTATCTAAATTGACCATATACCATCTTGGAATGTTTCAGGCATGGTACTTTTATAACTTCTGAAATTGGTGTTTTGTTTTGTTTTGTTTTGTTTTGTTTTGTTTTGCCCAGAGCCAGGGGAATGAAGAGCTAAGTAAACCGGACTCTCCTTGTGCATAAAACTGATGTCAACTGAGCAAATGCACACTTATCTTGTGCGACCTACACTAGTTTTTAAACAAGGTTTTGGAAAGAAAATCAACTTCAGAAACTGTAGACTGATTTTTTTAAAGAAACTTATCAAAGAGAAGAAATAACCTCTGGGCTGAAGACCAGATTTACGAAAACAAATATGGCCACGGGGAGTAAAGGGTATGTGTGGAGCCATCCAAACTAGCCTTACTTTTCTAACCTCATGTCAGAAAGAAGATACTTCATGGGGGGTAAAAGCTGTTATTAAGCAAATATTAACCCCTAAGTTAAGCAGTTGAGAGACCAGGAAGAGAAGGTTAATGAGGAAATAAGCTGCAGGTAAAGTGACGTTTTAGAAATGTCACTCATGGGCAGGCATCTGATGCCCAAGAGATGAAAAAGTAAATTAAAACACTTAGGAAGCAGAGAGGACATCCTAGGGTGACCATCTGTCCTGGTTCACCCAGGAATAAGAGGTGTCCTTAGTTACAGGGCTGTCATCAATGCTAAAACCAGGATAATCTCAGGCAATTCAGGACTTTTGGTCATCCTACCTCATTTATCAGCACTTCCAACCCAACTAGATTTGGATCCTTTACTTTGGATACAAAGATTTGACTTTTGCTTAAAGTGTTAAGTCACAAGACGAGAGATTTCAAAGGTGATCCAAATCAGAACCCATAGTGTAGGATCAGCAGCACCACAGCCAATGTGTAGGAAAGTGATGCTGAGAGTCTCAATGTGATCCTTGATTCCTGGGTTTGGCATGTGCTCCTGTTGAATCTTACACAGCATATCAGCTAAGGATGGGAAATAACCTTGGGGACATGTGACAGTCCACTAGACTAAGAGTGAGGGAGATCAGAAAACTTCATAGGCTTAAGCCAGCCCAAATATTATTCATTCTAAAGTTAAGAGTATCTCCCTGTCCCACCCCCTAACAAAACATACTATAATTTTTATAAAAATATCTTAAAAGTATAATTGACATAAAATGCAGCTATGGAAAATGTGCCTTTCAAATATGAGCAAGGTTTAAGCAAGAATCATGTTATCTCAAAGATTTCAGATTCTCCAGACAACACTATTTTCATTATACACAAATGCATGACTTGCATATAGAAAAAAATATACGTATAGTACATACCAGTATTTCAAAAAGTGTCCAGAACACAATGGCAAATCAGGAAGGAGCAAATTATAATAGAATAATTTAATGTCACTATATCCTAAAGACTGACACAAACTTTCTTGATTTGGAGTATTTTTCCTAATACCAGTCTCACAAATCACGTATCTTTGTCTGAAGGTAGTTTATTGAAAAGTCCTCTTTTTTTGTCTGTTTAGCCCAGTAAAATAAGAAAGATTTTCTTTAAAGCAAATTTAAAACCTCAGAGGTCAAAGAACAAAAGACTTATTCAGAATGAGTAAGAGAGAGGGGAGAAAAATTATTTCAAGTTACATACACATTGGTGGTAAAGATGCCATAGATCAAATCCAGCTCAGGCAGGAAGAAAGTGCTCTGCAATTCGTTGTAGTAAAAGGGGACTTCCCCAGGACGGGAGCAGTTCAGGCGAGCCTTCATGAATGTGGTCCAGGTGTCTTCCAGCAGGAAGCGCCCACCAATATCATTCTTGCACACCCGGGCAGCTCTGGAGAACACTGTTTTCCCACAGTCATGCTCTACTGCATTTTCTCGGAAAAAGAAGTAGGTAAAATTTCCGATGTCATAAGATGACACAAAGTTTGGCTCTGGGAAAAAACAGAAAAGAGGGAAAACATCTCAACATTCATGTCATTCCCTTTTGGTCTTGCCTGCTCAGTACTTTATCCAAAGAGGCATGGTTTTGTTTAGATAATACCTGGTTCCTATAGGGCAATTGGGAGGCCCTGTGAGCAGCTTAATGATCTACACTGTTGGGAAACTCAGTGTCATACACAGATTCTAACTAATGGGAAGGCACTGGTATGACTGCACACTCAAGTATCCTGAGCTAAATTAGGGCTCAAGTTAATGTGACGTTAATACCATCAAACACTGGCAGCAAATATTTACAGTACATTTTAGAGCAATATGCATTACTTTTTATTTGCAAATTCTTACATAACCTTCAGAAAGAGAGGGAGAAAATAGGATTAAAAAGATGAAATGTGACTCAGAATATAGCAGTCTACAATCCTATTTGTGTGCAAGACAACAAAATTATTTGACTTAACTTATATCCATTCCTGTGACTTTGACATAAGGTATGTGCTTTTACTAGGGACTTTAAAACTGTTTTCATTGCTGGGAACAAAAATAAAGACTAAAACTGTAAGGTGGGTCTGGAATTAGCTTTAGCAATTTCTGTTACTATGGTGACCATGGAACGGTGAAAAACAACTCTGATTTTCTGATTTCTGGGTTGCTTGGTGATACATTTAGAGGAGGGAAGAGTATTGGGATGGAGACATTGCTTTGTAGTTCTCTGGTCTCACAATTAGCTTTAAAATGGGGATAAAGAAATGACAAAATTATGACAAAGCCTTTACTTAATCACCAAGCTCATTAGGAGTTTAGGAAATATACATTATCAACTGAATTTTACATAAAGCATTTGAAGTTTCAGCTTCCTAACCTCCAGTTTGAAACCAGTGATAATAGAGAGAATACATGTTGAGATACACATACTCCCTAATATTTGCTTTTAAAAATCTAATCACAAGGTTTTATTCTTCTCTATTTCTAAATGCTATTCATTCAATCAGCAAGTATCTTAATTTTATGGTGCAAACTAGGATAACTGTGGCAGTAACCTTTGGTGTCCAAAATTAATGGAAAGATACAGACAACAAGTATATTCACAAAGACACATTTTCAGGAACAATTAGTTTTTGGGGGTAATTCAGTTGGCCTTGTACTTTTCCAGATACAACTGCATTGCAATAATAACATGCTACTGGCAGGACAACTGAAATATATGTGGCTGCAAGATAAGCCATTAATGTTAAGAGTAAGACACATAAACGGAATCATCTAAGGTCTGAAATGCAGAAGTTGACTTCAGACATTGACAAAGGGTTGGCATTGACTACTCTGTTATTCTGTCCAGGAAGACTATTGTCAATTTTCAATCAATACCTATATTTGATATTTTCACAAAATGTTTTAATTTAATCCAACTTTACGTTTTAAAAATATTCTAATTTTTTAAAAAATTTTAAAAAAATATTCTAAAATTTTTAAAATATTCTAAATGGTTTATGTATGATACTTTTCCCTTCAGTACAACACACTGTTAAGTCATTGAAGTATATCAAGTAATATACTGAAGTGATTTTAATTTATAAACTGTCAAACATATTCTTAAGTCACTATTGCTTTCACCCTAAATGACTATTTAAAAAAAAAAAAAAAAAAAAAAAAATCAGAGAATGTAAGCAGCATGACTTTAATAACACGTAATAATGACGGAGCTGGATATCTTTACTCTAATAGTATGCTTTAATATCCTGGAGAGATGCTCACAAAAACAGCAGATTACACATCTGTAATTTGTGTTTTTGGAACATAAAGAAAATACTGGGGGCGGGGGTGGGGGGCAGTTAAGTTTGTGTTCACCGTAAGTCTCCAAAAAAGAATTACTTGATAAAGCAGGCCCCAAAAGCAAAAATATGGAACAATTTCAAAACCATGTGTAAAGAAAATAATCACTGGCATGTCTAATTCTAAAGAAGAGGCTAAATTATTTTGAAATGGGTCCTGCACCCTGGCTACACAAAACTAGAGTTTGGGAATTGTACAAAACAAGCAACAACAACAAAAACAGCAAGAAGAAACCCCACCTAAAATGGGGAAAACAAAGAGAGAAGGCGTAAGGGTCCAAAGGTGTCTAGCCTGGGACTTAGGTTACCAGCACACATGCAGGAGGCATGAGGCAGAGTCCACCAAGATTTATCAAATATACTCACTACTACCCACTTCTGCTATTAACTTGGGGACAAATGGCATGAAAACCACATAGTAAATAGCTCCAGTTTCTCAGAAGTCCTGAGCCAAAAAATAAGAAGATACAAAGGAAGAAAGATCTTTTATGGTTTCCAGCTGAAGGTTGAGTTTATAATAAAAATAGCTAATATCTGTAGAATGCTAATTCTTGCACCAAGATCTGTGCTTGGTGCTTTATATTCCCACTGAACTCACAAGAATCACAGAGCTAGGTGATGTGCTATTCTTCCCATTTCATAGATGAGGACACTAAAGCCCAGAGATTTAATAACTTGTCTAAATTCACATAACTAGCAATGGCAAAGGGGGATGGAAAATCCTGAATCCATTAGACCAGGGGTCACCAACCCCTAGGACATGGACCAGTACCAGTCCATGGCCTGTTAGGAGCCAGGCCACACAGCAGGAGGTGAGCAGCAGGCAAATGAGTGTTACCTCCTGAGCTCTGCCTCCCGTCAGATCAGTGACAGCATTAAACTCTCATAGGAGCGGGAACCCTGCTGTGAACTGTGCATGTGAGGGATCTAAGTTGTACACGTCTTATGAGAATCTAATGCCTGATGATCTGAGGCAGAACAGTTTCATCCCTAAACCATCCCCTCTATCCACCCCCAGTTGATGGAAAACTTATCTTCCACGAAACTGGTTCTTGGTGCCAAAAAGTTTAGGGACCACTGCATTACACTATACTGAAAAAAAATAAACAGTGGTTGCAAAAAGAAAACAGTCAATTAAATGCTAGCAATATTCAACAGGATTTGACTTTCTGCTTTAGAAAAACAATGGTAAGCTCTTGGCTGGACGGTCATCTTTCCACGGCGAGTGGTAAGCAGGTTTACTTAGGAACAGTCTGAGGGGGGTTTCAGAACCAACTAGAGAGACAATAAATGATGAGATGAAACTTTAAACCACAGCTACCACGGATGTCAGGAATGACACAGAAAGAAGAAAAAGTGGGAGGAAGAAGAAACAATTTAAGGACTTACTAAACAAGACCATTGTCGGAAAGTGTTTGAGCCAACTCCAGACGGTGTTTCAAGGAGGGCCCACCATAGCCTCAGAGAGCCAGTAAATGACTCTCGGGGGGTCATTCCATACCCTGTGTCTGTTCCAGCAAACCACATCTGCTTTTGCAGATAAGGAGAAAACTGAGTAATGGTAGGCAGATTGATGCACAGTTTCCTCTTTCCACAGAGAGCCTCCACCATGTCTCCAAACTACCCTGAACCAATGTTATAAGATCACAACGTGCATTTTAGATAGAAATGCTCAAATACAGGTTTTCCTTTTGGTTTGCAAAAACAAGAGAAGAATTTGTATTCCGAGTGTAGTGAGTGCTGTTTGCTAATTCACCATGCAGTGCAGGTCGCGCTGGTCAGAGACTGAGACTGCATTTGGTAACACATCCTGCGGCCCTACACTGATCCTTCAGGATGAGGGTGGACCCCTGACTGTGTGACCTGCCATTAACTAGGGAAACGCAGTTTTTTGAAGAGTAGAGTCTCTTGAAATTCGGCTAGCATCCTGTTCCTTTTTCAAAGACAGTAAAAAAGTGGGAATAATTGTAAAACAGTCAAATAGCTCTTATATTTATTGATACAAATTTGGAAGTAGGTGATGTTAGAGTCTTGCCAGGCAGGATGATAAGATGAATTTTGTTTTCCTTCCGTTATTTAAGTTCTGTCTTTTCTCAAAATGCAATTCACCACAAACTAGTATCTGTCACTCCTGAGTGAGCTGAACAAGTCAGAAGGAAAATCAGGCCTTTTCTTCTTGTGTACAATGGATAGGAGTGCATGAAAGAGAGATCTCAGGTGTGCTGCTGACTACATCACAGGAAAAACAGGCATGTCAGCCGCTATGTAAATACACACATGGAGAAACTCTCTTTTCTAATGTTTGTAAAACATACTGAGTTGTGTATTACAGTGTTGTACAAAATATATCATGTTAATAAGAATTATTCTTCATGATATAAGAACTTTTATTTTGCATGTTTTCTTACATAATAGTGACCATACAGATAGGACTAGGAGAAGTGACTCACCATATATGTAATTACAAGTGATGCGAAGAAAAGCATCAAAAATTTTGAGATTTTGATCACACAAAACCAAATACCGAGCATCCAAATGAAGCCTCCCATTCTATATTCTTTCTATTCCAACATCTAAAGCATCAATATGGGGGTATACCATATTCAAATGGCTCGATCTGAACATTGATATAAAAATATTTGTCTACAATGGGAGTGAATATTAAAGGCACAAAGGAATCCCTACTCTACAAAAATCTTACTAGAATCAAAATCTATTATAAATTATTTTGCAGTCAAAAGTCGCCTTGTGACACAGTTGCCAAAGTCAGGCTGGAAAAAGCCTGTACCCGATGCCTGTGGCTCTGCCCTGGTTGGACCATTGACATCTGATATTTTCTGTTGTTGCATCTGACAATCAGACCTAGTTTGCAAAGCTGTAAAAATTAAACGGGCTGATGCATAGTAGGATGCCAATAAATGGTGGCTATTATTATTTTGGCATTGTGCACGGGCATTTTCCAGCCTGACTTTGGCAAGTATCACACAGAGTGGCTTTTGACTGCAAAATAATAGTCACCATTTACTTACCCTCAATGTCCCTTGCAATAATTTCTATTGAACAGAACTTCACATAATGATAATGAATGATCAAGTATATATATATAATATATATATAATACATATATATATAGCTTAAAGGTGATCAGAGTTTTAGGATTATAAATA